ACAAGCTCCAAGACTGAAGTGCTGTAAAAGAAGCAAGATGTACACAGGGTACATAGTATGCTATGTTTTTTTTTAAAAAAACACATACACATACTTTACACTGAACCAAACGAAACCACCTATATTGACTTATAAAAATGGCAACTTCATTGGATTCAACTTAGTAAGTGCTTGTATAAAATATGAAAGAAACACACAAGGATCTACGGAGAGGAACCAGGGCAAGGGTCTGAGTTGGGCAAAAGTTTTCAGTTTATTCTTTTGTATTCTTAACTTTTCCCAACCTGCATCTGTAACTGCTTTTTATAAGTGGGTGCACTCCAAGGAAGACTGAGAAAACAACTGTTTTCTTCAAAAGCAAATTCAGCAGCTAGTAAGTGAAAATAAAGAGACCACACAGGTAAGAGAAATAAGTTGACAAACCAACGCCGGCACTAAGCTCCTCCCACACACTAGGATTTTTTAAAATCTCAGACCAGGTGTTCTCCCTCTCCTTTACTCTTCTCTCTCCTCCACCCGCTCAGGCACTTAACCATTAGCTTCCTCACTCCCAAGCTCCAAGGGCCCTTCCTTTAACTCTGTAACTTTTATTTATATATATATATATGAATCCTCATCAAAGGATATTTTTCTATTGATTTTTAGAGAGTGGAAGGGAGAGAAACATTGATGTGAGAGACACAATGATTGGTTGCCTCCCGCACACGCCCCAACCAGGGTGGGGGAGAAGCCTACAACCGAGGTATGTGCCCTTGACTGAAACCGAAGCCCGGACCCTTCAGTCCGTAGGCCGATGCTCTATCCACTGAGCCAAACCAACCAGGGCTACTTGTTTTCTAAGCCCATTTCTTCTAGGAATTAATTCTTCTACTTCTGTGATTTACCAAATAAATGTTCTCTTACCAAAAAAGAAAAAAAATCTCAGAACATACAATTGAGTTGATTTATACCTCTGGCCTCAGAGAAATTCAGACGAGAGAGCTGTCATTTAAACCCTATCTGCCCACTATTTCACAAGCTGGGTTCTAATTAATAGACTTATGTTATATGATGGGTAACTAAACTGAAAATTTCAAATGACTTCAGTTACAACTACCATTCTAAAATGCCCTTTAACTACCAAATTGTATTTGAAACGTGAACTTCCAGAAGACTAGAATAAAAGGACACGTCATCCAAGCCACGGGTTCTGGGACACACGGCACACATCCCTCTGGCTACAGGACTTGGCAGGGACAAGCTGTGACAGGGGCAGCACATTCCCCACATTCCCACGTACCACCTCCTGCAACCGCCACAGACCTGGAGGTGTGGTAAGGGTTCTGCCTGGCTCCCAAAGTGCGGGTCTATTTACACACTGTGGGACTGGCATTTAAAACCACCACTGCCTCCGCCATGTTGACCCTTTCAGAATGCACTTCCCTCACTTCCCTCACCTCGGGTTCCCTGCCCTTGGTCTTCCTTACATTTCTCTCCTTTCAAGGTTATTTTTCACTTGTTTCATCCTTGATGTTCAGTGATCACTGTTTTTGTTTTTCTTTTTCATCTTAACATGTACATTTTTAATTGCACTGTATTGCTTTTCAGCAAATATTTCAAGTACACATAGAAGTAAATAACATTAACATAATGCACGCCACATACCAGCTGAGCAAGATCTTAACGTTTTGCCGGGTTTGCTTCAGATCTTTTGGCAGAAGCCTGTCACAGTGGACATCCCGGGTACCACTCTCCCATCTCCAACCTTGTTCCCTCCCTCGCTTTCTCCCTTCCTCCCACGAGACAGCCACTCCCCTGGTTTTAAAGTGCCCATGCATTTTAAAACATTTTTAACACATAATAATTATGGAGATGCATATCATTTTTCATGTTTTTAAACATATAAACAGTATGAGACCATTAAAATCATTTCTGCAACTTGCATTTTCACTCAGCATTGTATTCATTTTACCAATTGCATAGGTTTCCATTGTATGAATATACCATATACCATTACTGATTTATCCATTCCTACTGACGGACATTTAGGCTGCTCCCATTCTTTACATTTACAAACAATGCTATAATGAAGCCTTGCACATCTCTTCTTGGGTACACGGCTGCGAGTTTGGTGGGGGCTGCAGAGGGCGCATGTTCTTCAGCTTGCCAACCTGCTCTCCAACGTGGTGGCACCAATTTACACTTTCTCCAGCGGGTATGCAAGTTCCCTTCATTCCACATCCTCTCAAACACTTGGCATAATGAGTTTCTTACACTTTTGCCAATCTGACAGATATGGAAAAAAAGACTCGTAGTTTTTAGCCTGCATGTCCTGTAAGGATGGTCGTATTCACTGACCATTTGGACCATTTATTTAATTTTTCCCCCCACCTTTCACATTGCCCTCTGGTTCTATCACCACCTCTCTGTGGCGATTACTAGAGACTCTACGTCCAGGCTGCCTGGGTTCAAACTCTGGCTCCGTCACATCCCCCTAGTGTCCCAGGACACTTTGCTCAACTTCCCTAGGCCCCTCATCTACAGTCAGCAGCACCCACCACTCACAGGCATGAGGGTGTTGTGAGTTAACGTGTGTAAAGTGCTCAGAACAGTGCCCAAGGGGGGATGCTTCACCCCATCTGTCCCTGGAGCTGCTCAGCCAAATTCCCACGACAGACCTATCAACCCCAACACGCGAGAGCTTCAAAACATCTCAACCTCGGTAACTCAGATAAAGGACAGGTGTACTATGTCAATGGCACTTCTGGCAACATGTTCTTTTCTGAAGCCACATCAACTACTCTCTTGATCAGGAGTTGTATGTACTATGGATTCAGAAAACATCATGCCTACTTTATAAAGCCAGTCGCATAAAGAATGTGCGAGGTGGGGAACACCAGCAAAACCAGTCTGCCATTAAAGAGGCATCCGATGCATATTGGTGATTAAGAAACTGCTGCTGAACTGCTTCCAGTGAAAACCTCAATGGTGCTGAACCTCAAGTTAGACTACCAGGAAGGAGCACAGGACAGATGCACAACCCTGCTCTTGACCTTGACCTCACCAGGCTACCTGGCTTCTGTATGTGTACTCTGATGCACCTCCTTTGCAGCCGAGTCTTAGGAGAGTCCTCCCTGAGTGTCTAGCATCTAACACTCAGGAAGAGGGCAGAATCCCCTGGTCTGCCTCTCAGCACCCACAGCTCCCCCATGCAGAGTGAATGACCTTCCACCCACTCAATGTTTCAGATCAGGCACCTCCATTTTCACAGGCGGCCAGCCATGTTGCTAACCTATTCATGTTGAAAACATTTAGATTCACCTTCAAACAGCATAGGATATCTGCAATTCTGGACCTAGCCAGAGGCAATAATCTAATGACATTTGCAGCTCATTCCTTGTCAGAACAGTTGAGGACAGTGGTAGTGATGGAAGACTGTGCCAAGCCCATCCATTCCTCTAGTCTAGACAGCCTCGGCTTATCCACGGCTTAAGCCATCTAAAAGCCTCATAACATAATACAGCGATATTCTCCAAGGTGGTTGGATTACTGGTGATTTTTATTTTCTTCTTTTTAAACTCTTGTATTTTCCAAATTTTCTACCATGAGAATGTTTTCTGTTCATGATAAAAGAAAAACATGTTATTTTTAAAGCTACAAACTTGGAATATACTTCTTCCCCACTCCCGCCCTCCCACATCCCAACATAAGGGCTTTCACTGAGAAACAACTGACACTGACTCTGCTTTCTTGAGAAAAAGTAACAGAAACTAGGAAACCCCAGACAGCACTTTCCAGGAGCTCTTCCGATGAACAGAATATTGCTGAGGTTCTCCTCTGCTCATCACTCAACTCGCAGCACCTGTAAGCCACAAACTCCAGAAAAACACTGTTTCACCTAAGCAATTGGTGCCCTCTTTCTTCATGGACAGAGAGAATTATGTCACTTGTCAAATTTTCTTTCTATTTTGACCTTTCTATTGAAAGGTCAGACACAAATAATAAGCAGGACCTCCTATGCCACTTTATTATGAGGATCCTAGGCTCTAACCTGCTTCTTCAGTATGCTTTGTTTTTATATTCTTCTACTGAATGGATGTATTCATTTTTTAAAATATTTTTTTTAATTTATTTCAGAGAGGAAAGGAAAGGGAGGGAGATATAAAAACATCAGTGATGAGAGAATCACTGATTGGCTGCCTTCTGCACAGCCCCTAGTGGGGATCAAGCCCATCACCTGGGCGTGTCCCTGACTAGGAATCAAACCAATGAGCACACTGGCCGGGCTGAGTGACTGTATTTTTGAAGATCACCTAAACCTTTACTGTAAGACAGGACAGAATTAAATGGAACTGCTTACCCTGCTCAAGAGTAATGCTTATAATTTACGCTTATAATTTATGGCCTAAGGTTTTTAAACCGAGGAACAACAAAATCATAGCATAGTGCCAACAATCTTTCTCAATAAATAAAAGCTAAGTTTGACATTAGGAACTAAAAATTCACTATATTTCACTCTCATAGTTAAACCATTATATTTCTTTTCCTTTTCACTTATGAAGAACATTTACTAAATTATGCTATACCAGGATGGAGGAAACAAGCACAAGTTCTTCCAGAACTTTACAGATTAATTAATAGAGCAAAAGGATGTAATTTAATGTAAGTGTTATAAACACAGACTTTTATATCATCAGAGAAGATCCGTGTTTAAATCTTGGCATCACTACTTACTAATAGTCTGAGTCTGTCCAAATGTAAGTGCGGAGAAAAACATCACCTACCTATTTAGAGTGTTGTGAGAAATAAGTAGCATAAGTAAAGTACTTAAAATAGTGTATAACATGTCCCACTCAATCAGAATGACCGCTGTCACTGGGGCTGTCATATAGATCGCTTACAGAGCCCTCTTTTAACCATTTCACTATTTCTGCCAAAGAACTACTGAAAGGTTTTCTTGCATGCCTGCAAGACAGAAATGGGTGTTTAGCATAATAATCAGGGAACCCTAACCAACTTACCTGAACTGTCCCGTGCGAAGAAAACAAAGAGCTCGGTTACCATAAAGATGGTAGTTTTCAGGACTTTAAAAGAAATAATGTTTGGTCAGTTAAGGAAATTACATATGAAACTAACAAAAATCATACAGAAAACCTACGGCATGAAAAAATTTTCAAAACCTTTACGTCTGTGTGGCAGAGCAGAAAGAATATAGGGTTTGAAGTCCTAACTGGCTAAGTCCTGGTTCCTTCACTTTCTACCTGAGTAACTGCTCAAATCATCCTCAACTTCCCTGTATTCAAAATAAAGATTCCCACTTTTCCGGCCTGCCTCACACAGCTGTTGTGAGGATCACAAGAGACACATTAACAAGCTAGAACTACAAGTGTGCTGTAACCGTGCAGGATAGAATTACATATCTAAGTTCGGACTGTACACACTGACAAAGAACTCAGAAGAAGTCTGTAAATTAACAGTAATTTAAGAGCTTCACTTCAAATTCTGCCCTCTTTAGTCTTCTCTGACTATACGTGGTGGAACTTCTTCCCTCTCCTCCGCCTCCTCAGAACTAAGCAGCAGCCTCTCGGGTGTGCCACGCTACCCTGATCCGCTCGTTCCCCGTGGAGACCGGCAAGGTAAGAGAGTAGCTGTCTACAGCGCATCCCCCCAACGCTGCTACAATATTAGGTGGACCAGCTAAGATGCCAAGGGAGGCACACTTGCAAAAATGCTACCAAATTCTAGCAGCTGAGCAAAGGGAAGACGAGGTGGAGGGAACGCATGCATTCTCAACAATCCCAACTATTATCCTTTAAAAGTTCCCTCTTAGAAAGCAAAAATCCTTAACTGGGTGACATCTTAAGAACTAGTAAGTAACCCTTTGTGACCAGTTAATAAATTGAGAGAAATTAGTTGAAAGCAAAATGAAAATAAGGAAGAACATGAGTCTGTTTAGACAGCTTGAAAGAAAACGGAGGTGGGCAGAACGGAATTCACAATTGTGCAAGACTTGCCTGAGTGATACTGTCTGATGAAGTTCATACACTCAGACCACCTCTACTGCTCCCAGGGCCTCTGACTGAGAGCCTCTATTCCGCATAGCAAGCTGAAGACAGTCTCCAACTCCTCATCTTTTATTTCCCCTGACTAGCATTCTAAGTTGATCTGCCACATAAAAAGGATTTCATTGTTCTGTTTAACTCTTACCTATATTCAATGGCTCTGCTGTAATAGATAATAGCTAGATCAAATCTTTCTTTGGAAAACTCTTCATTTCCTTTCATTTTCATTAGTTCTCCTTGCTGAGAAACCAACGTGAAAGAAAATCCATCAGTTAATTGCAAAACACAATTAAGAACCCCCTTACCTATCTATCTTTGCTATCAGAAATAACCCAGGGGGGTCACTTACGTAGAAAATGATAATGCAACGTTCAATATTTTGGTATGTATATTTAAAGAAACCTGTCTCTAAGGACTTATTGCTAACTTTGTTAAAGGAAACCAAAAAGTGAACAAAACCATCACATCATAGGTAACTGCTAACAAGCTTGCAGGCCCACATTTACATATACTTAGTAAGCCTGCTGCGAGGTAGAACTTTAATTTTAGGCTAGAAAATGTGATAGTGTTCAATAAACCTGGGTGCTTACAAAACAATATGTAATTCAATAATACATATAGGCAATGCTGATTATATTAACTGCCAGAAAAAGAGGCAACAAAATCAGGAAGAATGAAATCAAAAGAATATCAAAGATGCTCCAGATATAACTAAAACTTACTTTAAACACTCAAATTTTCAAAATAAATTCACTAAAATAAACTGGATCACACCAATGACTTTAGAGAATTAACTAGAACGTTAAATATTTTTTAAGTCCTTTTTTAAAAAATTTGGTTAAAATCATCTTTCTTATGAGTAATTCTATGTGGCATGTGGATTACATCTCAATACTGTTGCCAAAGAAAATCGTATTTACTCAACTAATTAAAACTCTTTTAATTTAAAAAAATCAAATTTTAATTTTTATTAACTCTTTTAAAAACCTCTAACATTAGAAAATTCTCAAGACGCTATTTTCCTCTTCCAAAAAAATAAATATTCCAATCAAAATTTATTAAAATTTCCCTCAAACATGTTATTGATTTTTATAGTATCAAGTAGCAGTTCTACTGAACTTTCTCTGAGTGCTAATAAAAGTTCTAACAAGCAAATCTTAAAATATACTTACAAGTAAATATTTATTCTCACCTGTATACACTCCGCACAAGTTTGTCTTTTAAATTCGTCAAGTATATTGCAGTTTTCTGTTACAACTTTAGTTATGTGATACTTGTCTATTTTTCATTTTTAGGAGAGAAGAGGACATTTATTTTTAAAAAATGGTATTAATGTTCTAAATCTTAGATTAAGTGAATCCATAAAGTTCATTATATTATACTTCTAAATAACATACTCGTTATAATCTTTTCATGTATCAAATAGTATATTTAAAAAAATAACATTAGATTCATTAATGCTATGAATTTAATCAATTACATTTCTAGCATTAAGAAAATACTTGTTTATTATTATATCAGTTCTAACTATAATTACAACAAATGCTTCATCATAACATATTCCAAATGGGCTGCATAAACTCTTAAGTCAATTCAACAAATATATCTGAGCACCTGTAATATACCTGGCACAATTTCAATAAAAATGAGAAAATCCTGTAAAGCTACTTTCTAAATTAATATAACAAATTAAAAGTTTAAGTATCTTAATTCAACATTTGACTCTCCTGAATGAAGAGTTAAAATTAGACTTTATTTGAAAGACTATTCTTATATAAATTTAATAAAATAATTAAAATGCTGTAATAACCAAAATTTACATTAAAAGTTTACCAGGCTTCATTTTCTGTATTTTAAGCTGTTCTATAAAAAGATTTTTTTAAGTTGTTAATAATTTTATTGCAACAAAAATGTAGTTACACCTCTAGACAAACATTCATTTCAATGGCAAAAAGAGTACCTAAAATGTAAGATTCAGGAAAGGATTTGGGTAAATCACCAAATGAAGTAAAGTAACACTAAGGGACAGACTGAGATTACAGAATGAAAACCTGGGCTTTAAGATTTAAGAGACCCGACTTCTCATCTAGGTTCCACTACTTACTAGACTACAGAAATACCACTTAACCTCTCAAAGTCTTAGTTTGATCATTTCTAAAATAGGAATAACAACAGCTACCTTCAGAGATATTTTAAAGAAGAGACAACAGAGACAAAGAGTCAAAAGTGAGCCAACACGGGTGCCCAATAGGTGATACTGGCCCTCTTCTACCATAAAATCTAGACAATAACTAAAGGCCTCCAGAATAGACAGACCCACCTTAATACAACCCAGTGCCTGCTAAACCTATCAGAAGACCCGTCCCCATGTTTAAGCTTAATCTTCTCTAACATTTACATCAACAGTATAAAATTTGTCCTCACTGGAGATGGCAAATTCTTATCATCTACTGAAGAGCCAAATATTCCTTGTTGTAATATTCCTATAACTGTGCTATAAAAACATCCAAATGCTTTAGAGAAAAGTATTCCACAAAGTAAAAAATAAATATAAAGCAGTTTCATTATACATAACAACAGATTCATCAGGGAAATGAAAATTATAATCTTAGCTCTTACTTATTTCTCTTACCAGTGAGAATACTAGGTGTACCAGTTAATAATGCGGATTTTTTTCACTAGATCGAGCTACACATATGTTTATATGCGATTTGATGTGAATGCTATTTTGTTGTATTGACAGCAAGCTTCAAAACTTCATATGTCAAATTTCCTGAAGGTATAAACATCATAGATATTTTTACACTTGAAAATTTCGTGCCAAAAGAAGAGTATTTGAGGGAAGTTTTAATTCATTACTTTATTTTGAAGAAAAAGTTATCATATACTTCGGAAAGCTTATGGTGAACATGCTCCAACTCAAGATACTTGTGAACGCTAGTTTAAACGCTTTAAAAGTGATGATTTCGAGACAACCAAGATGGTGGCATAGGTAAGCACCTGTACTTTCTGCCTCTCACAACCACATCAAAACTCCAACTAAAAGACAAAACAAATATCATCCAGAACCGCAGGAAAGCTGGTTGAGTGGAAGTTATACAACTAGAAGGAAAGAGAAAAGCACACTGAGACTGGTAGGAGGTGCAGAAGTGGGGAAGTACGGAGGCACGCCTGAAACGGGCTGGCAACTGGGTGTGCTGCTGTTTTTCTGAAATGGGAGGGAGATACAAGCTCCCGATTGCTCTGAACTCCAGTTCCCGGAGAGACACTGGGAACCCAGACACATATGGGGAGAAACTGGACTGCCTGGCATCGGGCTGGAATGCGAGGGCGGCTTTCTCTCAGAGGTGCTTGCAGTGATCATTGTTCCTGCACGGGGCCACAGGACACAGACCCCGAGACCTCTCTGGGGAAGGGCTGACTGGCAGCCACTGCTGTTTGCTCCTCCCTGGTGATTCCCTGAGACCCTGCCCCACCCAATTTACAACCCCACCCAAGCTGTCCGCAGCGACTTTTGCATATGAATGGCCTGTCATTTTGCAACCTAAAACCTAACAAACTGCAGCTGGGTCCAAGAACTAAAAAGCTTCCAAAAGGCCTAAGACCCTGAAACAGCAGCCTACATTGCTTCACAGCTGGGCCTCATCTGGGCACTTCCAAACTGCAAACCAAGAGGAGGAATCTGCAGATCTCTCGGTACCTCCTCCTGGGTGGACTCAGGCAGTGGCTGACTTTGCACCTCCTTGGAGATCCAAGAGCCAATGTACCCAGTGGTCAGTGTGAGACCATCCAGATTAAAACTCTTCACATCCATAAGAGACACACTCAGGGTGCAGACTGAGTGAGCACCAAAGCCACACTGAAGCAAGTCCTGCTCCATTAGAGTGTCTCCAACACAGTAGTTCTCCCATTGTAGACACAGCAATTGGCCTGGAGGTCAATTCCTCCTAGTGATACCAACAACAATCAAGGCTTAACTACAACAAGACTGTGCACAAAGCCCACAAAGGGGTGCACCAAGAGTGTCCACCTCAGGTAATTGGGGAGGCTGAGCCACTGGGTCCTATAGGACACCTAGCACACAAAGCCACTCTATCAACACAGGGAAGCAGCCAAAATGCGGAGACAAAGAAACATGTCACAAATGAAAGAAATGGAGGAAAGCAAACTACTGGATATAGAGTTCAAAAGCACAGTTATAAGGTTACTCAAGAATCTTCCAGAAACCTCCAAGAAATATAGTGAGACCCTCAAGGATATGAAAAAGGACCAATCAGAAATTAAGCATACACTGACTGAAATAAAGATTATTATACAGAGATCCAACAGCAGACTAGAGGATCCCAAGAATCAAGTCAAAGATTTGAAATATGAAGAAGCAAAAAACCCAACTGGAAAAGCAAAAAGAAAAAAGAATCCAAAAATATGAAGGTAGTATAAGGAGTCTCTGGGACAACTTCAAGCGTACCAACATCTGAATTATAGGGGTGCCAGAAGAAGAGAGAGAGCAAGATATTGAAAACCTATTTGAAGAAATAATGACAGAAAACTTTCCCTACCTGGTGAAAGAAATAGACTTACAAGTCCAGGAAGTGCAAAGAACCCCAAACAAAAGGAATCCAAAGAGGACCACACCAAGACACATCATTATTAAAATGCCAAGGGCAGGGAGAAACCAAGATGGCGGCATAGGTAAACACCGGAAATTGCTGCCTCCCACAACAAATTCAAAAATACAACTAAAAGACAAAACAGACATCATCCAGAACCACAGGAAGGCTGACTGAGTGGAAATTCTACAACTAGAAGGAAAGAGAAAAGCACACTGAGACTCAGAGGAGGTGCGGAAGTGCAGAGGTACGGAGGCACATGCAGCAAGGGCTGGCAACTGAGGACGCGGCTGTCTTTTTGAATCGGGAGGGAGTCACAAGCCCCCGACTGCTCTGAACTCCAGTTCCGGGTGAGTCTAGGGGACCTAGACTTATATGGGGAGAAACTGGGCTGTCTGGCAGCAGGCAGAACTTGGAACTCAAGGGCGGCTTTCTCTCAAAGGTGCTTGCAGCGATTACAGGGACACTGAGACACAGGGCCCCTTAGGGCAGGGCTGAGGATCAGCCATAGCTGCTTGCTCTGCCCTGTTGATTCCCTGAAACCCCGCCCCACCCAAGCTGTGGCAGAGGCTTTTGCATATGAATGCCCTGGCCCTTTGCAATCTGAAAATTACCTAACAAATTGCAGCTGGGCCAGACAGACCCAGAACTTCCAAGAGAAGGCCCAAGGCCCCACAGCAGATTGCACTGATTCACAGCTGGGCCTCATTTGGGCACCTCCAAACCCCAAACAAGGAAGGGGAATCTGCAGGTCTCCTCGCAGCTCCTGCTGGGTAGCCTCAGGCAGAGGCTAAATTAGCACCTTCTTAGATCCAAGAGCCAGTGTACCCAGTGGTCAGAGTGGGACCATCCAATTACAACTCCTCAGATCCATAAGGGACCCACTCAGAGGGCAGACTCAGTGAGCACCAAAGCTCCACTGAAACAAGTCTTGTCTCATAAGGATGTCTTCAGCACAGAAGTTCTCCCACCGTAGACACAGCTGATTCTCACAGCCAATTGGCCTGGAGGTCAATTCCTCCCAGTGATAACTACAACAATCAAGGCTTAACTACAACAAGACTGTGCACAAAGCCCACAAAGGGGTGCACCGAGAGTGTCCAGCTCAGGTAATTGGGGAGGCTGAGCCACTGGGTCCTATAGGACATCTAGCACACAAAGCCACTCTACCAACACAGGGAAGCATAAAAAATGCGGAGACAAAGAAACAGGTCACAAATGACAGAAATGGAGGAAAGCAAACGACTGGATATAGAGTTCAAAACCACACTTTTAAGGTTTTTCAAGAGCTTTCTAGAAACCGCCGATAAATTTAATAAGACCCTCAAAAAGACTGGTGAGACCGCCGATAAATGTAGTGAGACCCTCAAGAAATCTAGTGAGACCCTTGAGGTTATGAAAAAGGACCAACTAGAAATTAAGCATACACTGACTGAAATAAAGGTTATTATGCAGAGTTCCAACAGCAAGAGGATTGCAAGAATCAAGTCAAAGATTTGAAATACGAAGAAGCAAAAAACACCCAACCGGAAAAGCAAAATGAAAAAAGAATCCAGAAATACGAAGATAGTGTAAGGAGCCTCTGGGACAGCTTCAAGCGTACCAACATCCGAATTATAGGGGTGTCAGAAGAAGAGAGAGAGCACGATATTGAAAACCTATTTGAAGAAATAATGACAGAACACTTCCCCTACCTGGTGAAAGAAATAGACTTACAAGTCTAGGAAGCACAGAGAACCCCAAACAAAAGGAATCCAAAGAGGACCACACCAAGACACATCATAATAAAAATGCCAAGAGCAAAAGACAAAGAGAGAATCCTAAAAGCAGCAAGAGAAAGACAGTCAGTTACCTACAAGGGAGTACCCATACGACTGTCAGCGAATTTCTCAACAGAAACTTTGCAGGCCAGTAGGGAGTGGCAAGAAATATTCAATGTGATGAATGCCAAGAACCTACAACCAAGATTACTTTATCCAGCAAAACTATCATTCAGAATTGAAAGTCAGATAAAGAGCTTCACAGATAAGGAAAAGCTAAAGGAGTTCATCACCACCAAACCAGTATTATATGAAATGCTGAAAGGTATCCTTTACGAAGAGGAAGAAGAAGAAAAAGGTAAAGATACAATCAACAAGTGAATCTAAAAATCAAGTGAATAAATAATCTGATGAACAGAATAAACTGGTGATTATAATAGAATCAGGGGCATAGAAAGGGAGTGGACTGACTATTCTTGGGGGGGAAAGGGGTGCGGGGGAGGCGGGAAGAGACTGGACAAAAATCATGCACCTATGGATGAGGACAGTGGGGGGTGGGGGTGAGGGCGGAGGGTGGGGTGGGAACCAGGTGGAGGGGAGCTATGGGGGGAAAAAAAGAGGAACAACTGTAATAATCTGAACAATAAAGATTTAATTAAAAAACAAAAAGAAAAAGAAAAAAAATAAAATGCCAAGGGCAAAACACAAAGAGAGAATCTTAAAAGCAGCAAGAGAAAAACAGTTAGTTACCTACAAGGGAGTACCCATACGACTGTCAGCTGATTTCTCAACAGAAACTATGTAGGCCAGAAGAGAGTGACAAGAAATATTCAAAGTGATGAATAGCAAGAACCTACAACCAAGATTACTTTATCCAGCAAAGCTAACATTTAGAATTGAAGGTCAAAGAGCTTGACAGGCAAGAAAAAGCTAAAGGGGTTCATCACCACCAAACCAGCATTATATGAAATGCTGAAGGGTATTTTTTAAGAAGAGGAAAAAGAAGAAAAAGGTAAAGATACAAATTATGAACAACAAATACACATCTACCAACAAGTGAATCTAAAAATCAAGAGAATAAAAAATCTGATGAACAGAATAAACTGGTAAATATAACAGAATCAGGGGCATAGAAAGGGAGTGGACTGACAATTCTCAGGGGGAAGGGAGTGTGGGGGTGTGGGAAGAGATTGTACAAAAATCTTGTACCTATGGACAAGGACATGGGGGGGGGGGGCGGTTAAGGGCATGGGGTGGGGTAGAAACCGGGGGGTAGGGGAGCTATGGGGGGAAAAAAGAGGAACAACTGTAATAATCTGAATAAAGATTTATTTTAAAAAAATAAAGTGATGATTTTGATGTGAAAGACAAAGAACGTCCGGGTCAACCGAAAAAGTTTGAAGACCAACAATTACAAGCATTATTGGATGAAGATGGGTGTCAAACTTAAAAACAACTTGCAGAAACATTAAATGTTGTTCAGCACACAATTTCCAATCATTTACAAGCAATGGGAGAGATTTTAAAGAAAGGAAAATGGGTGCCACATCAACTGAAGGAAAGACAAATGGAAAACCGAAAAGTCATCAGTAAAATGTTGCTTCAACGGCACGAAAGAGTCTTTTTTGCATCGAATTGTGACTGGCGATGAAAAGTGGATTTATTTTGAGAATCCCAAATGCACAAAATCATGGGTTGATCCAGGTCAACCATCAACATCGACTGCAAGGCCAAACTGCTTCAGAAAGAAGACAGTGCTCTGTGTTTGGTGGGATCAGGAAGGTGTGGTGTATTATGAGCTTCTAAAACCAGGTGAAACCCTTAATACTGATCACTACTGACAACAAATAATCAATTTGAACCATGCTTTGATCGTGAAACAACCAGAATGTGCCAGAAGACACGGCAAAGTAATTTTGCTTCATGATAACGCACCATCACACACTTCAAAACCAGTTAAAGACACATTAAAAGATCTTGCCTGGGAAGTATTAACCCACCCGCCGTATTCACCAGACCTTGCTCCTTCAGATGACCACTTGTTCCTATCGATGGCACATGCACTTTCTGAGCAGCACTTCAAAATGTACAAAGTGGAAAATTGGGTCTCTGAATGGTTTGCCTCAAAACAAGAAAAGTTCTATTGGGATGAAATCCACAAATTATCTGAAAGATGGGGGAAATGTGTAGCTAGCAATGGACATTACTTTGAATAAAGCACTTTTGGTGTTTCTCTTGAAATTATCGTGTTTTCTTTGATTACAAAATCTACATTATTAACTGGTACACCTAGTATATGAGCCCCCGTTGTGGTCTCTTTGGGTATTATATATAACTAGAGCCCCAGTGCACAAAATTTGTACACTCGGGGGGAAGGGGGTGTTCCTCAGCCGAGATTGGGAGAGGGCACAGGTCAGGCTGAGGGACCCTACCAGTACACAATTGAGGCCAGGGAGGGATGCAGGAGGTTGGCTAGCTGGGGAGGGATTGTGGAAGGGCTCTAGGGCGTGTATGGCCTGTCTCACTCAGTCCCGATCAACCGGACCCCAGCAGCAAGCTAACCTACCAGTTGGAGCGTCTGCCCCCTGGTGGTAAGTGCATGTCACAGCAAGCGATTGTGCGGCCTTAACATATCATTAGCATATTATGCTTTGATTGGTTGAATGGAGGACTGGACAACCAGACACTTAGCATATTAGGCTTTTATTACATAGGAGGACTAGAGGCCTGATGCACGAAATTCATGCAAGGGGCTTGGCCCTTGCAGCACTGGCTGCCTAGCGGCCCCACCCACTAGTTGTTCTGGAAGGTCATTCTGTAGGGTCATTCTGCCATCTGGTCTAATTAGCATATTAGCTCTTTATTATATAGGATAACTTGAGTATTATATAGATAACTTATGACATCTACTTGGCAAAAAATTTTTAAAGTATCAGTGTTTGAGCATTGACCCATGAACCAAGAGGTCACCAGTTTGATTCTCGTCAGGGCACATGCCTGGGTTGTGGGCTCGATTGCCAGTAGGGGGCATGCAGGAGGCAGCCAATCAATGTCTCTCTCATCAATGTTTCTATCCCTCTCCCTTCCTCTCTCTCTAAAATCAATAAAAACATATTTTTAAAAAATTCAATGAAATATGTCATAGAAATCATTAAGACAAGAAATACAGAATGAAACTAACTACAAGGTTAAAGTTCTTTTATGCAGGCTTTTCCCTTACTCAGAAAAAAACATTTTTTTTTTAATCCTAAGATAAATAACTACACATTCCATTTTCCCAACTAATATCTTTAAAAACTGAGTCAAATAACAATCTAAAGCATTTATACTTACATTCAGTAAAGAAAATACTTAACATAGGCCAACAATTGTCAACTTCTCCTAATTTAGATAGAATTGTTACATCGCCTGTGTATTTCACCCAATTCAAAGCTTCTTCCATTGCCAATATATTCTGTTTCAAAAAGAGGGATGTAGAACGTGACTTCGGTATTAATTCTAAATTCACATGTGGCATTATACATTTATGTTATATGGTATTTCAGATTCTTAATATAAAACTTGTAACCTCATATTTTCATTACTCTAGCACAGAACTAGAATAGCTGGACCCCAACATACAAGTTAACAGACACCATGGACTGGTGTATGTTACATTTCAGACCACCTTGGGCCACCCACAGAGCTCAAGATGCTTTTGCAATGATTAGAGACCTGACAGATGAGGCCTACTGCCCAGCCCGAGATGGCCCTGGGTAGCAGAAGAGTTTAATAATATGAGATGAACCAGGCATCTCAGATCTCATCTAAATTAGGACTTCCATCCTTGTCTCAAGTTTAAAGGTATAGATTAAGGTTCACCAAAGGGATTATGGTTTTTAAATGGTCTGTGGCAAATAGAAGAATAGGAGATAAACAAGAGGGTGTAGCTGGGCAAATGAGCACTCAGTGCAATGATCTTCACAGAACTTTCATTCGTACTTGTAGTGTCTGAAATGACTTCAGAAATTAAATAGTGGAGTTATCGGTGCAAATGCTAGGCTTAAGGGAAACGTGTAGAAGTTTATGTTACCAATAGCACTAAAAATTGGTTTACCATTGTATGTGACGATTATCTAGTAATGATATAGCAAAACATGTTCATACCAGGGACCTAATAATTTCATTTGGGAGAATATATGCCAGGTAAATAATATAAAAGAGAAAGAGTCAACTTGTAAAAGAGGTTCAAAATTATACTAGGCATAATTTGGGGGGAAATGAAAATTATGTAAATCACCTAGAATAAGGAGAGCCCTTAAGCAAAACATAGAAATCAAAACCACCACACACTACACATAAAGCGTTGACTATGTAGACCCAGACGTGGGCAACAAGCAGCAAGGCAACTGCACTGACTCACAGTGGCTGTGTTGGGTTCCTGTGTTTAACACTTACATTTTCTATTTTATAACCAATTCTCAGTAAGCCTCCAATAAAGAAGGAATCGTTCTGCAAAAAAAGAACATAAAACACATTTTTCATCTTTATTCAGTCAATTACACATGAATTTTCCAATGAACAACAAAATCCTACATTTTAGGAATGCATAGTAGTCCACTTTCCATAAGCACTTTCATGCTCAATTTACCGCTTAAGGATCCTAAAACAAGAATTCAGAAATAGTCCCACATTGGGTTCTAATGATAAAAAGACTTAGTGTCACTTCTAGATATATGAATTTTAAAGTTAATTATACCTGTATTTTTTTATAAGAATACATTGGCTGATATAAGTTACTGCAAAGGATTAGCAACAGAAAATAAACATCAAATGCCCTTTCTAAATTTAAGTTTGCAATGAGAATAATACCAAGAAAAACACTTGGTTAATACTTTCAACAATAAAGAATTTTTAAAAAAACCCAATTGGCTCCATAATCAACTGAAATAAGAAAAATTATCAAATGGCTCTCAATGAAAAGAAACCCCTCAGTGCAGTACAAGGACATCTGCTCAAAAATGACATAAGACTACCCAAACGGAAAAATATTTGCGGCGGTGGTAGTGGCAGTGGCGTGATTTTAAGTCAGAAAACGGAACCCCTCACTTTCAGAACCTGGGACAACAGTTTCTGTGAATCAAGAGTAAACTTTCATTTGTGACAAATTCCAATTTCTATCCTTAGTAACAGAGAGCTGTCCTGATTCTCAACATGTCCTGTCAGAACCACAAAAACAGCCACCTGCCTGATTTCTCAAATATATACCACAGACTCATGGACGGCAGCACCATCTCAGGTTAATCAGAACTGAAACCTCCTAACCATTATAAATTAGTCACACAGCCTGACACCATATACTCATAATCTTTAAATAGAGAAGGACAAAGCCATATTCCACCACTTACCATAACTTTCTTCGCCAAATCCACAATATCTTCCATCAACTCAAGATGTTGCAATTCCTTCAAACTTATCTCAGAAGTATGAGAACTGCTTAAAGAAAAATTTATTTTTTAAAAATTAGTTTCTTGTGTATTAAAGTTTACATTTAACTGCATGTCACTCCTTTAAGTTCTGTTCCTTCGCTCTAAGTAATAAGTTTAAGTGGATAAAATATTATACCTTTTCTTGTATACAATGCTGATATTTATAAAAAATCATATAATTTTCCTTACTCAGTTTCAAATTTAGCATCTAATGCTCTTCAGAATTTCATTCATTATATATATTATTATCATGATTATTCATTCATATCCAAATCCCAAGTACTAACTTTTTTCACTCTACTAAACAAGAATACAACTGAATAGTATACAAGCATGAGACATAGCCTTCCACTGTACTTGGTTGGCATTCCTCAATATTGGCCAATGTGTTTACCACTGTTTATACAAAATGAATAATGTAGTAACTTACGTGGCCTCCACACAGGGGTACAGCCGTGATATTATGGAACTGTGTTGATGTTGAAACAGAAGTGGCCAGAAGATGTGTATTTTAATGGCATCACAGTAATCTCGCAGGATAGAAACTGGTTTAGTACACCACATATTGCAGATGTCGAATTCTTAATTTAAAAATTGTTTAAATTAATATTTTGTGCCTCATTTTGGAATCAATCAACAGTGTTAATAGAAAAAGCAAAAACAGATTATGGGAAAGTAAGAAATGAATGGATAAAATATTTCAACCTGTTAGATATTAAGAATATTCAAGAGAGCTAAAACTCTATTTTAAAAAAGGTTTTGTTTCTAATGAAAAAGACTAGTAAGAATAAATTTTTAGCCCTAGCTGGTCTGGCTCAGTGGATAGAGCATCAGCCTGAGGACTGAAGGGTCCTGGGTTTGATTCCAGTCAAAGGCACATGCCTGGGTTGCGGGCTCGGTCCCCAGGAGGGGGTGTGAAGAAGGCAGCCAATCAATGATTCTCTCACATCATTGATGTTTCTATCTCTCTCTCCCTCTTCCTTCCTCTCTATTTTTATACGAAAAACATATAAAAATAAAGAAAGAAAAGCTCTTGAGCAAATTGTTACTTTAAAAAAAAAGAATAATTTTTTAAGAGCTATGTAAGTCTGTTATATTAATGTGAAAGGATGAACTTCATGTGATAGTCTTTTAACAAATTAGTTAAAATACCAGTGTACTCACCTAAGTTTCTCTCACTTTCAGCATAATCTTTATACTGCCTACCCTAAAAAAAAACAAAAACACACAAACACACAAAAACCCACATTTGATTTATATCTGATGCCGGGAGCCGGTCCATGCTTGCTGTTTCAAGGGACCTGGCATATATGGCATACTGTTCTTAATATGTTTGCTCACCTTCTTGGCACTATGTGTTTTAACCAAGGTCACCTCTCTGAGAAAGGTTGTTTCCCCAGGTAGGGATTTTCCCCTGAAGTTAGGGAGGGAATAAAACCTCTTAACTAAGTGCCAGGCGGGTAATTAATCACTTTAACTATGAACAATCATGCTTAAGCTACATAATCTTTACTCCCTGGAATGGAGATAAGAAACGCCCTAACCTTTGGAATAGAGATTGATAGGATTGGAATCAACTGGTATAAATACAGATGTAACAAGACAGAACTTAGAAGACAGAACCAAGAAGACAGAACCTACACAGAACCTAGAGACAGAAGAACTTCGCTGGAGATCCTGACCAGAACTTGGCTAGAGATCCTGGCTAGGCTGCTGATCAACTGAACGCTGTCTCTGTGTCATTCCTTCTTCGCCGACTCCGTCCACACCTTTGGGGACCCCTGGACCTGCTGGGGTTGGACCCCGGCAATCTGATAAGATTCAAAAGCATGGCTCTTGATTTTTAATGTAAAGATTATTAGCACTGACCTAAAAAAGTGCACATTTATTTATATACTTTGAATGCAGCATCTTCAATCAACGCATCGCCAGGCCTTTTCCTGGTGTTTCCCTGAGAGCTCTTTAAACTCAGGCAGAAACACCTTCCATCACTCATGCTCTGGCACTGCACCTTCTTGCTGCTGAGGCGCTGCGTTACTTTCCCTTCTGAAATCACCTCTTCTAAAGCATGTGTAGCTATCCGTAAAAACTCACGTAGTATAAAACACCTATACTCAGGTAGCTCTAAATCAAAAATCTTTAAGAGGTAAATCTCAAAAATTCTCATCACAAGAAAACAATTTTAACTATATGTGTTGATGGATGTTAACTAGGTGATTTCACATATATCAAATCATGTTGTACACCTGAAATCATGTTATATGATTTCCACTCTACTCGATTTTTAAAAACCTTACAGTAAAATCCTTTAAGAAGACGTAATATTAAAAACAAAAAGTTAACTAATCTACTTACCACCCCATCACAGAAGAGTTGAGTCACACGAACATAATCATTGGGCATAAATTCAGAAGCAAAGACACTATCGTCCTCAAAAGGGGACTCTTCTAACCAGGCATAATCTGTTGTAGTGTACTCTCCCAGGGCCAGAATGTCCATGGCACAGCGTCCTAAGGAAACAACACAAACCCAAGTCAGTGATTAAGTCATTCAGATAAGAGAAGCAGTCTGCCTGGCCTCTAGGACATTTTAGAAAAACACCTGGAACTTGTGCCCCAAGGAAATAACTCCAATAAGAACACTGAGCTCCTGAGAGATTCTTGTCCTGATTCTGCAATTCCTTCCTCAACCTTCTTCAAATATCAGTTTAATCTATTTCTTCTTTCCCTCAAATTCAAAGTCACCAACCTCTACTCTGAATTTATCTGTTTACACGCCTCCTTCAGATGGAGGATAATTATGGGCATCTTAGTCATCTTTTATGTGCCTAGCACATGGAAGCCCTCAAATAAGTGTTTGCTGAATGAACAAGACATCTTTCCACTGTTGCCCTTTTACACCATCCGCTTTTACTGCATCCTGTGAAAATCATTGTTTCACAATCCACACACTGCTGCATGCTCAACCTTCTGGCCAGAACTAATCCTGACTCCACTGAGGGAGCATTTCATTTCAGCTGCTCAACTGTCCTACTCATCCCTCCGTGTGTTTACGTCTTGGGCAAAGGTGCACAGCCAAGTGGTACAGGGTGAGTGTATCAACCTCTTCATCCCCACAGCCACACCAGACCTTCCCTCTCAAGAGCTGCTAACCATCCTGCTCCAACACTTCACAACTACAACAGTCAGCACTGCTGATTGCAAAGGTGGGCAAAAACCCTCATGTTCAATGAGGAAAGGAAATTAGGGCTTTCTTTTTCAAACTAAGGTTTCTTCCCCTGAAGAAAGTTCAATAATAAGATTTAAAGCTTTCAAAGAAAAGCTACACAACCTAAACATCACTGAAAAATGCAGCATTTCATTACTTCCGACTCTAGCCCAAGTAATGGCTTTCTTTTCCTATCATCAGCGGCACCATTTTTTATACCTTTTGCTTCCCCACTATTACCTCACTATTGCTAAGACAAACCAACTTTCCATTTTCCTAAGCAAGACCATTATCAGGTCTTGAAACACAAATCATTTCTTTCATTCTTATTACATCCAATTTGCTGTATGAAAAGACCTCACAATATCAGAGGTGAAGAACAACAATCTTCCTGGCAAACTCTGTGTACTATTTGTCACATGCACCCCTTCAATCCTCATAGCAAGTCTTCTCAGTTCAATTGCCATCACCCCCACTGTTTGGATGAGAAACATTCTAGATGAAGTAAGTAATGTGCTCAAGGTCACCAAGCTAGGAAGGATTCAAACCTAGGCCCTCTGATTCCAGTCTCTCCTCTCAAACACTATATTGTACCATATATATGTTTCCTTGTCATTGCCAGCTAGGTACCTCCTGGTTGTCATGTTTAAGAACACGGACAACTAGCTGGGAGTGTTCCCCTCTCCTGCAAATTCTATCATCCCAGCCACACCCAGGCCCATGCAGATGACCCCTTCAGGACCCTAGCCTTGCAGTTTTTATCTACCTTCTCAGCTAAAATGAACTGTACTTCCCAAGGTCACACCTCAGATCACTGCCCATTTCTAACCGGTTTTTAAATCTAACTCCCATTGGCTCCTCTGAGAACACCCAAGTGTCATTATAGCTCAAGTCTCCCCTGCCTCCTCCCAGAGACATTCTTCAGCCTCCTCAGGGCGCTTCTTCCTTTTCTCCCATCCAAATCCTCCATTCGCATTTACTTTGTTTCCTACAACTGGGTTTCCACTCCCAGGAAGGTCATTAGTGACCTTCTACAACGGATTGATTATATATAATGTCTGGACCCTGACCTATTCTAGGTCAACAATATTCTGAGTTTAGCATTTAACTCCAAAAGTGAACAATGACTTGAAAAAATAAAGACATTTTGGCACCCAAAGTGTGGCATATATATGGGACCTATGCTATCCTGGGAAATATATACACTTTTAAACTCATTTATTTTACAAACGTTTTGTGTGTGTAAATACAGAAAGAGCCAAAACTGTCTGTCACAGCCCACACATCACTGTCATGGCATCGATTACAATACAATTAATGGGCTCACATCTGGCAGACTGAGCCACTGTGACATATCAGCCTGGCAGATCTCACCAATACCACACCCTACACCAACTATACTGTAATTACACCATTGGTGTAATTTTTATTTTCTATTTTGTTTTAACCAGAAAGACGATATGGCATAGTGGTTAAGAGCATGGACTCTGGAACCAGACTGCATGGGCTTGAACCTGGCTCTCCCATTCCCTCAGTGTGTGATCTTGAGCAAGTTACTTGACCTCTGTGCTTCAGTTTCCTCACATATCAAATGCAGATAGCACTACTACCTGCCTGATTAACCAGTTAATAAATTTAAAGTGCTTAGGAGAGTACTTTAGCACACAGTAACTGCTATAAATACCAACTATCATTAACATTAATACTAGATGAGTCTTTTTTCTAACCCATTGTTTGGATGCTTCCAGCTAAATGGTCTACCTCAATTGCTAAGTCCAAAGAGCACTTTTCAGCTTACAACTTACTTGACGCTGTTGACCACTTCCTCCTTTTCAGAACTCTTCATCAGGACTCCAGAGACCATCTTCTGGCTCTCCTCCTATTCTTCTGGCTGCGCTTCCTCAGTCTCCATGGGCTCTTCTCCTCCATTCCCCGCCACCCAAATGTCAACTCTCTTTTCTTTTCATGCTTACCCTCTCCGTGGGCGATCTTACCCACCACACCCATGGCTTAACACAGCACTTGCTGAACTTCCACCATTTGCATAGCTTCACCATGATTTTTGCCATTTCCACATGCCACATGTATTTTTATTTACTTGATGTTTCTTTTATTGGTCTCGCTTGGCCTAACTGATAATATCCATGATGTCATAGGTTTGATGTACAATGTATGCTTTTCATACACATTAAATTCCTAACTATTCAAAAAATTGTGTTTACTTATAACCAGTTTAGGTTCTCTCATACTACGCAACAGCGGAGATGTCCAAACGCTCAAGCTGCTCAAAGCTCTCGAAGCCTGGGTTGTACCTCATGATTCCAGAACCTGTCAACTGCTACTGGATTTAACCCAGATGTCCCACAAGCCTCTCAGATTCAATAAGTTGAGAGACAAACTTACCGTTTTCCTCAAAAATAAAGGAAACCTCTTTCTGTATATCATCAGTTAATTGCTCTACCTGCCACCGCTTACCCAAACCAGAAACCTGGGGGTCAATCTAGACTCCCCAGTTTCTTTCAACATTTCTACCCAACTGACCACAAGTCTTGTCATTTCTACTCCCCTAAGAAATCTAAAATTAGCACACATACACCTCTTCATGCCAGGGCTGCGCCTTAGTTGTAGCTTCATCTTTCTCCTCTGAACTGATTTCCAAGCAAGTCTCCTAACTGGTGACATGCCTGCAATCTGGGCATCCTCTAAAACTCTGGTCATAACACCATTCAACAGCTTCTCTTCATCTTCAGAATAAAGTCCAAACTCACTAATGTAGCAGAGAAGGTTTTCTGTGATCCTGTTCCTGCTTCTGTCTCCACTCACTGCATGACACTCACCTTACAAGCCAATCATACTCGGTAACTACCTGTCTTCCTAAACAAACCTTATGCTGCCCACCCAATGCCTCCCAGTCCTTAATACTAAATTCCAGGAAGCCTTTCCTGATCTTCTTGCTACCACCAAGTTTATTGCTGTACCTCTTCTCTGGAATCCTGGAGTACCCTGCCCATATCTTCTGACAGCAGTTTTCACAGTTTGGTCATCACAGATTTATCTCTGTAGGTTCACTATGGGTCCAGAGGGTAAACTGTGCCCTACCCATCTTGATTCCCTAGACTGTTTCCCAAATTTTTATTCACATTCCCCAAAGTAGAAAACTTTGCCAAATCACCTACCACCTGTACTGTAATTTATTTAATATTTTTTAAGAATAACTTCAATATAAACATGTTTTAATAGAAATTTTGATATCACCAAGAAATCTTAAGTTTGGTATGACACAATATTTTTCTAGTACAAACTAAAATATTTGAATAAAATTAAATATTAAAGTAACTGACTTATTGACTCTATTACTACAAAAAAAGTGGGTCCTAGTTTTTAAATATTTTTATTTTGCTGAGTTCATAGAAATAGGGAATATTCAAAGCCACCCTTACCCTGCAAAAAACAAAACCCTCTTGCTAGAACTAAACCTGGCAGTCAAGAGCTACATATAGTAATGCCAAGAACAGTAGCTGGATCAGGACACTGAGCTCTGGACCAGAAACAAAGTGAGGGAACCGAAAAGCGGTCCCACGAAAACTCCTCAACGCCAGTCAAAGCTGATATATAAATCCTATCAGAAGAAAAGCACCCCCTAACTAGACTCTCAAGAGTCCCAGAGAAAGATCAGCTAGGAGTTCATAATCGAAAATCACTAAATGCAGAAAGTTACAGTCCACCATGAGGGAACACAGCAGAAAAAAAAATAAGCAACAAATTTAGACCTCCTAAGTACAGCAGACACTGGGATTGCCAATACAGTCTACAGAATATGTATGGATTCAAAAAACTGAACAAGAAACAATAGACCAAAGGAAAAAATAAAAGACTGGGTATATCTTAGAAAGAACTAAGTGAAACTTTTAGAAACTTAAAATATAGTTGTTAAAAGTAAGAGAAAAAAATGGATGGGTTAAAGAGAAGATTAGACACAGTTGAAGAAAAAATTAATGATCTAGAAGACGTGCCTGGTGAAATTACCCAGCACTGTATATTCTGGAAAAGGAACAAGGAAATAAAAATATGAAAGATAAAAAGTGATCTGCATACACTCTGATACATATATATTCAGTTAAATTTCCAGAACACATGCCTCAGAATATTCTACACCCCATGAAAGACAAAGTTCAGAATCAGAAAACATGGGTATATAAAAGAGGATAAATAAAGAGTAATCTCCATCTAGACTTAGAAGTGAAAGCTAATAACATCAAAGACAGAAAATCCAATGTAGCCAAAAGAAAAAGAATATTTTCTTCAAAGCTTAATAAGCAAAACTGGCAGCAGAACTTGCATGTAAAACATCTTCACGATGCAGACAGAAAATAAACTATCAATCTAGAAGTGTATATGCCTCAAAATTATCTCTCAGGAACAAGGGTAAATAAAAGTAATTTTAGATAAAAACTGGTTTTAACCAAGATATCCCAGAGTTGACACCAAGAGATTGAACGAACTTCTTAGAAAATAGCAAAGACATAGTCTCAGTGAATTAAAAGAGAAATCCAGAACTATTTTCTTTATAAGAGAAACATAAAATATAAAGATATTTTTTAAAGTGACAGTGAAACAAAGGAAAAGAATATTCTGTAAATTATTACCAAAAGAAAGGTGGGATAGACAAAACTTTAGGCATGGAGAGGATCACAACATATTTCCACTAGGAAAGTAATAAGCTTGCATGTATCTCATCAAATAGCCTCAAAATACAGAAAAAGAAAGTGTTAGGACTACAAGAAGTCTATTAGAATAGTGCAACACATCTCTCTCAATTAGGTCAAACAAACAAAAATTAACAGACAGTCTGAACAACACAATTTACCAGCTTGACCAAGTGGATACATAACAATTAGTATACATACTCTTCACAGGTACACACAGAATAAAATTCACTATGTACAAGACCATAAAACAAGGGCAAACAATTTTTTAAGACAAATGCACATTATGTTCTCTAACAACAATTAAGAAATGAGTAAAAAGAAAAAATGTTAATGTAAATAAGTTTGAAAATTTAAAAACATGTAAGTCAAAGAAGAAATCAAAATGAACATATAAAAAATGCTTAGATTTGAAAGTTAATTAAAACACTATAAATTAAATCATGTTAGATAAAGCAAAAATGCCAAAACCGGTTTGGCTCAGTGGATAGAGCGTCGGCCTGCGACTGAAAGGTCCCGGGTTCGATTCCGGTCAAGGGCATGTACCTGGGTTGCGGGCATATCCCCAGTGGGAGATGTGCAGGAGGCAGCTGATCTATGTTTCTCTCTCATTGATGTTTCTGACTCTCTATCTCTCTCCCTTCCTCTCTGTAAAAAATCAATAAAATATATTTAGCCGAAACCGGTTTGGCTCAGTGGATGGAGCGTCGGTCTGTGGACTGAAGGGTCCCAGGTTCGATTCCGGTCAGGGGCATGTGCCTGGGTTGCGGGCACATCCCCAGTGGGAGATGTGCAGGAGGCAGCTGGTCGATGTTTCTCTCTCATCGATGTTTCTAACTCTCTGTCTCTCTTCCTTCCTCTCTGTAAATAATCAATAAAATATATTTTAAAAAATAAATAAATAAATAAAATAAAATAAAAATATATTTAAAAAAAAAAAAAAGCAAAAATGACCTTTGAAGAAGTTTATGGCTTTATATGCTTATACTGGGAAAAAGGAATAACTAAAAATTAATAAGCATGCAATTTAATTTAAAAAATAATGTAAAAATAAACCCAAAGGAAGAAAATAAATAAATAAGAAAAGATATCAATGAACTAAAAAAACAGAAATATAATAGAAAGGACTACTTAGGCCAAAAATTATTCCTCTGCCAAGATTAACCAAATTAATTAATCTACTTGATTAATTAGTTTTTGCAAGACTAATCAAGAAAAAAAAAAGAGTAGTCGCACACAAATAACAATCACAATAAGGGAACACAATCACAGATAAAATAGATTTAAGACAGTAACATGAACTTGATGCCAATAAACTTGAAATTTTTGTTGAAAGGTCAAATTTCTAAAACTTACTAAATTGACTAAAGGAAACACCTAATTTCAACTGCTAATTTCTACTAAATTATTAACATCTGCAATTCTTTCACAAAGAAAACATTCGCTCTGACAGGTAAATTCCGCTAAACTTTCAAGAGACAAATCACTCCATTCAAACTGTCTCAGGAAAGAGAAAAAGACCTACTCTCTAACTGGTATAAGGCATGTGTAACCTTAATATCAAAGTCAGACTGGACAGTCAATAAAGAACAATGGCAGGTGATTTCATTCATAAGACAAATACAAAAATCCCAAGTAAAGTATTAGCAAGCTCTATCTAGTAGTTTGCAAAAAGACAATTCACCAACAACAATTTGGGTTTATCTCAGGAAGGAATGTAAGAATTAAGAATTTTAAAATGTGTTAAGTGGAATCCATTACATGTAACACATTAAAGGAGAAAAAACTCAAGATATTCTCAACAGATGCAGAAAAGCATGTGACAAAATCACAAAGACTTCCCTAACTTAAAGAGTATCTACAAAAATTCATAACATTGTTTTTAATGGAGAAGCATTCCCTTAAAAGTCAGGAACAAGACTTTTATGTCCACTATAATCACTTCTAATGAACAACCATAATCACTTCCACTAAACATAGATCTAAAAGCATGCCAGCATATTAAGACAAGAAAAACAAAAGGGAAAATTGAAAGAACTCAGAGTCACTATTTGTAAATGATATAATTATCCACATAGAAATCCAAAAGAATTACAGAAAATATTAGAAACAAATAGATGACTAAAGATCAATATTTTAAAATCCATTAACTCTCCATTTACCAACAATAAACAGAAAATAGAATCTTAAAAAAAAACAAGTTTATAATAGCAAACAAACCTACTAGAAACATCGAAATCAACATTTAAAAACTGTTAGATGTGCCCTGACCGGTTTGGCTCAGTGGATAGAGCGTCGGCCTGTGGACTCAAGGGTCCCAGGTTCGATTCTGGTCAGTGGCATGTACCTTGGTTGCTGGCCACATCCCCAGTAGGGGGTGTGCAGGGGGCAGCTGATCGATGCTTCTCTCTCATCGATGTTTCTAACTCTCTATCCCTCTCCCTTCCTCTCTGTAAAAAATCAATAAAATATATTTTTTAAAAAACAACTGTTAGATGTGTATGGAGAAAATTACAAAACTCTATTAAAAGACATTTAAAACCTAAATACATAGAAATACCACGTTCTCAGACAGGAAGGTTCAAAATCTTAAAGATTTCAATTCTCCCCCGAACTTATTTAATCAATTCCAATTCATTCCCAAAGAATGTTTCATGTCAGGTGACAAACTGATTCTTAAAACAAGAACAAAGATCCAACAGCTGAGGCTCAAGCCGCACCCCCGCCCCGCCCTCAATTATCAAGATTTCTGGTTACGCTATAGCATTAGAAATTAAGACAGTGGTATCAACACAGACATAGACAAGTGGACAAGCGGCACAGAAAGGTTAGCCAGAAACAAAGCCATGCATATAGAGAGTAAACATGAAAAGGAGGTGGTTCAGGGTATCACTGCCGAACAGAGAATCATTTCAATAGATGAGCAGAGGACAACTGTAGCCACTTGGGGGGGAGGGGGGTGAAATGAGCATTACTGCCTCACACCATACACAAAAATCAATACAGATGGGTTATGAAGTTAAATGTGAAAGGCATCATTTTAAAACTTCTAGAAAGGAACACAGGAGAATGCCTCTCCAATCCCAGGGCTAATGGAAAGTTTCCAATTAGACTACATTAAAACTAAGAACTTCTGTTCACCAAAACAAAAACATCAAGAGTTAAAAGATAGGTCACAGAAGGTATTTACAGTGCATATAATCAATAAAGGACCGGTGTTACAGTTTATTAGTTTTTAAAAGTCAACCCAATAGAAAAATGGGTAAAAAATAAGCCAGGTATTTCACAACAGGAAAACAAAGGTTTGTAAACATGAAAAGAAAACTCATTAATAATCAAAGAAATACAAATTAAAACCACAATGATACATCACTTCATACCCATTTGATTGGCAAATATTAAGAAGTCTGATGATAACAAGTGTGATATAGATCAACTAGAACTCTTACACACTGCTAGTCAAAGTATATAATTTGACAAACTGCTGGCCAAAGTATAAGGTAATACAACCACTTCAGAAAACAATTTGGTATCACTTTGTAAAGTCCGATATTCATGACCCATAACCCACAATTCCACTTCTACCAGATAGCTTATCACAGTGGTGTCCACCCCTTTTTTATTCACAAACCATCAAAATGCCTTTAAAAATTACATACTCTTCATAGTTTAAGAAGACAATGAAAATGTTTTGCCTAAATTTATTTTTTTTTAAATATATTTTATTGATTTTTTACAGAGAGGAAGGGAGAGAGACAGAGAGTTAGAAACATCGATGAGAGAGAGACATCGATCAGCTGCCTCCTGCACATCTCCCACTGGGGATATGCCCGCAACCCAGGCACATGCCCCCGACCGGAATCGAACCTGGGACCCTTCAGTCCGCAGGCCGACGCTCTATCCACTGAGCCAAACCGGTTTCGGCAAGAAGACAATGAAAATGTTTTGCCTAAATTTAAATGAACTTCTGGAGTATCAGTGACATTTTAAAATAAAAGTGAAATATCACTGGTTTAAACTGTATTATAATTACTGCAGCAAAGTTAATAAAAATACTAACTATATACAGTGACAATTACACATAAAAAGTTAAAAGTTTTTTGGAATGCAGCTCCTAAGGAGATGGGAAGTGCCTGCTTTGAAAGAGGCTTTCCCTAACACTAAACACTGTATTTTAAATTATCCCTTTTTTCTGTGTAGTTTTCCCACTTGGGGTAATGCTCTAGGCAGATTCCATGTGGGGGGTGGTACTGTGAAAAGAAAGGGGGGAAACCAGAACCAGAAGGAGGCCAGTGATAAGCCTTAGGCATTACCAATTTCAGGAAGTACATATGAAACCTGACCTATAAGTTGATTCATAAACATCACTTGTGCCCAAGTCCTCCCTAGAAAATCATCATCATTCCCTGGGCGGCATATACCCAGTGAGAAAATTAGAGAAATTCTTGTAACTGTGTCCTAGAATATATGTACAAGAACCTTCATTAATAGCAAAACCTAGAACCAAAATGCCCATCAACCAAAGAATGCATACACTGTGTTATATTCGCCCATGGAATATTACACAGCAAAGAAAAATGACAATTTAAATCTATACCTGTTTTGAGAGAAATAAGCAAGTCCAAGAAAAACTGTATCCAGTATTCCTTTTTTAAAAAACTCAAAAACAACAGATACCATACATTGTTGACGGATGTATACATATCTGATAAAATTATTTTTTAAGAAGCAATGAATGACACAATTCAGAAGATAAGTCACTCTGGAGGTGAGCACATTCAATACAGGTTATTTTGTGTGTGTGTTTGTTTTTTTTTTGGAATGAGTGGTGGATCTATGTGTTCATTTTATTATTTTGCTTCACAAGTTAAGTAGGTTATATATATTCTGAATGTATCAAATATTACATTAAATAAAGAAAAAAAGATTTTTAAAAACAATTCATCATATGAAAAAAAGTAGTTAAATCACCTCACCTGCCACTAGAGAGGTACATGATGGAAAGTATTACCTTTATATCAACCATAAGAACTGACATACATTAGGTACAAAATAAATGTTTATTGCAATTAATCTTATGAGGATCAAGTTAGATAAAGACTGAGCCAGTTAGGTGCTTGAGATAAACCCGGCTAGAGCAGAGGCCAAATTTAGCCGCAAGCTAAAGTTATAAGGTAGCTGATCATTAAAGAGAAGGCAGAAATGTAAATAAAAGTTAGCAAGGATGTGAGAAAATGAGCACCCTCACTCAATACCAGTGAGAGTCACAATTAGAACCACCATTTTGAGAGCTTCTGTGATTTTTGGTTAAGTTGAAAATGCACATATTACTACCAAGGACTAGGTGTATTTCCCGGAGAAATTTCCAAATGTGTGCACAAGCATACAAGCACAAAGATGTTTATTGTGGGTTTGTTTTTAAGAGTAAAAAACCAGAAACAACCTCAAAGTCCATCAACAGAGAAATGGATAAATAATGGTATATTCATACAATGGTTTTCTATACCAGCAATTAAAATGAACGAACCAAAGATAACTCAAATTTCCAATTTATTTTTTTATAAATATCAAAAGGTAATGCTGATTGTAAGAAAGCAAGTTGCAAAAAGATACATTTTCTTCATACCATTAAAGTTTAAAAACACACTATATTATTGCTTATGGATTCACCGTGATCCAAGTATACTGGTAAAATACTATGCAAGGGAATGATATTCACAAACCTAAACATGGTGGCTACCTCTACGGAAGGAAGGGGAGGAAATGAGACCATCTCCAATACCTACAATTTTAGTTCTTTAAAAAAACGAATCTAAAGTAAATTTGGCAAAATTATTACATCTGTAAATCTGAGTCAAAGATTGGTTAGACACCCTCCCTTAGTATTGCATATATGAAATATACCAGAAATTAAAAAGGAAAATTAGGCAAGAGTAAGACAATCAAGCAAATGAACACCAAAACTCAGCCCTAGAGCAGAGAGCAGGCACCTTTCTTTGCACAAGAGGAGTAGTTGGGTCCCTAATGGATTTTAAGTTTCTTTCTCTGCATATCCTGATAATAAATCCCATTTCCCTTAGAATAAAATGCCAATTTCTTGTAATAATAATAATAAAGTCCTAGCTAGAGCTGGAACAATGAGAAAATTGCTCCCAGAGGAGGAGGAGGAGTACAATCTGAAAACGTCCACCTGGTTGCCCTCGCCAGGATGTCGGGCAGAATGGAGAAAGCGAATTTACGTGAACGGCATCAAACACTGCGTGAGCCGTTCGGTATTAGCGAGACCGCCAGGGCCGGCTAGATGTTATTGATTTTGCAAATACTGGAAAAAGCCTGCAATCCAAGCAGGGCTCTGGGGGTGTAGGGCGCCTCTGGAAAAGGCACGCATGGTAGCGCCGGCATCCACCTACGCCTCCGCTTCATTCTGGGGCGCGGGCCCCCCTAGTGAATGGGCGGGCTCGACGCGGGAGATGCCGTCAGCAACACGCAGCAGCTGGCGGGACGCAGCAGTCCCCCCGCCCCGTTAGCTCCGGGGGTGGGGGAGGCTCCGCAGAGGCGTCAGAGAGGGGAGGGCTCAGGGGACGGGAGGGGAAAACAGGTGGCGCAGACACGGAAACACAAAACACGGAGGACGAGGCGTGCACGAACGTTCCCGCACACCGCACACCGCACACCGGCCACGCACTCCACAGGACCCAGGCGCACGCCGCGCACGGGAACACGCGAGGACGCACACCCGGGCGAGGGATGCTGCAGGCGGGGGTCGCGCACCCCCCGGAGAGGGGCAGTGACACCAAGTGGGGTCACCCAACCGGCCGGGGGCGCCCGCGCCGTCGCTGGGAAGAACCCGCCCGGACCCCAAAGGGCTGGAGGCGACCCACGGGCGCGTGCCTGCGCGCTGCGGCCGGAGGACCCCTCGCCGAGCAGCGGTGTCGCCCTCAAGACGAGGGTGCGCGGGCGGCCAGGGGATGCGCACACACGGGGGCCACTCCCACCCTCGCACAGATGCCCGAGGGGCCCACGCTGGCAGAAGGGGGACACCAGACAAAAGGGACACACCCACTGGGGCCGACAAAGGCGGCCACACCCCCAGCGCTCCGGCACCCCAGCCCACGCACCCCATCCCACGCAGACACGCCGCGGGCACCCCAGCGAGCGACGCGCACACACCCACACTCACCACACACCCACGGAGAGGACCTGGCGGGCCGCTCTTCCCGGGCATCTCGGCTTCTGTGCGACACGGTGGCACATCCAGGAGCCCTGCCGCGCGCCAGCGGTGCACTCACCCGGGCCCGCCGACCGCAAGCCTCGGTCGCGGGCCGCCGACGCCACCGCTGCCGCCTGCGGCCCTCCACGTCAGCCAGCGCGAGCGGCAGCTGGCAGCGGCGCGGGCGGCAGCGCGTCACGTGGGCGGCAGCGCACATGCGCAGTCGCTCCGCCCCGCCCCCTCCTCGGCGGCGGCGGCGGGCGAGCGATCCCGCGGGACCCCGCGCTCGCGAGCTCCGGCCGGACCAGGTTCGCGGTGCGCCTGCGCCCGGACGGGAGGCGCCCTCGCCCCTCGGCTCCTCGCTCGGCTTCTCCTCTCTCGCCGCTGCGGCTGCCGGGCCGGCGCTTGCGCAGAGGACTTCTTGCTGAGTGGCCGCGCTGTTGAGAGGGGCCTGAGTGGGCGCCGGAAGGAGCCCAGGTCGAGGACCACCTTGACCTCGTACGTGGAACAGTAGCCAACTTCCCCCCACACCCCCGAGAGCAGGTGCTGGTACCTGGGCGCCGCGGCCCGGACCCGGGAGGCCGCGCCCTGCCCAGCTCTTCCCTCTCCGCAGAGAGGCGAAGCCTGCAGATTGCAGGGGGCCCTTCAAATCCACCCCCTCTCCGGCCCCGAGCTCCACCGCAGGCTGTGCGCGTGCTGGCGAGTGTGCGCGTGTGCACGCGAGGTCTGGCAGCCGCTGTGCGCGTGCAGGTCCGGCGTGGGTGCTGGTGAGCGCGCGTGCAAGCGGGCGTGTGTTGGGGGTGTGTGCGCAGGACAGCCGTTCGCAGTGGTTTAGGCTGGAAGGAAAACACTGCAGAGGCTGCGCCCGTGGCCCGTGGCAGAGCGATGAGGTTATGACAGCCCAGTGCGGGGAGCACATCCCTGATGGTGATTGTGTTTCCTTCCCACAGATTGTCTCCAAGGGAAAATGGTGGAAAATTCACCGTCGCCGTTGCCAGAAAGAGCGATTTATGGCTTTGTTCTTTTCTTAAGCTCCCAATTTGGCTTCAGTAAGTACTTTCCCCATGGATGGCTACGGCCTTGCTCTGGTGTTCAAGGTCAAGGAAATGACTGCCTTTGTTATTAGAGTGCGCGCACGAACTGTGATTCTTCCTACCTATGCCTCTTTTTAAGAAAACCTGAAGGGGACTCATGTTGGTTCAGAGGGCTCTGTGAGCCAGGTAGTAGCTTGAAAGGTTTAATCTCAAGCGCTGTTCATACAGCACCAGGGAGGATTGCCCAGTGGATAGAACCTGGGGCCTGTGGTCATGGTCTGGTGGACAAGACAAGTACATCTACACTTAACACTCAGCGTGGTGCGTGCCATGGGAGCCCAGGGAGAGACATGGAACAGAAATCAGTTTGCCTTCTTCCCAGCCACAAGGAGGAGGGAAGTGGGAAGGCCCTGGCTCCTGTGCTGCTGTGGCAGCTGGGGAGTGAAGGGAATGAATGAGGCTGGAGGAGTCAGGTGCGTTTCTATCCTGGGTCTCCCTCAATCCCTGTGAGATCCCATTGCACAGGTAAGAGAAACTGGTGCTCACAGAGCCACACACCAGGCCCCAATCTCTCCCCAGAAGGAGTTGAGAATTACGAGGGGACAAGGGGGAGAGAATTGGGGGTACTCATAATCCAACTTTTTGGAATTTTGTGGGCACGAGGAAGGTGGGGGGTGTGAACCTTAACTGCATCAGTTGGGTGGAGAAGTCGATGGAGTGAGGTTATAACTTGGGTTCAAAGCTTGGCTCTTCCGCGGATTAGCTGTGTGGCCTGAGACCATTTCCTTCACTTCTTTGAGACTTCAGGTTCTTCAGGTGTAAAAAAATTGTGACTGTTTATTCTGTGCTTATCATTCCCAAGACAGTCCTGTGGGGTGGATGTTGTTATTGAAACAAAAAGCTCTACTGATGAGAATACTGAGACACACAGTCCGTAAAAAATAGAGCTAGAGCCCCACCTGGGGTGGCTCAGTGGATAGAGCGTTGGACTGAAGACTGAAGGGTCCCAGGTTCGATTCCAGTCAAGGGCACATACCCAGGCTGCGGGCTCAGAGACAGCCGGTCAATGATTCTTATCACTGATGTTTCTATCTCTCTCTTCCTCTCCCTTCCTCTCTGAATCAATAAAAAACATATATTAAAAAAAAAAATAGAGCTAGAATGTGAACCCAGACACCGGGTGGACTTCACTTTGCTGCCTCTCATGGCCTGTTGGAGCCCCTCTTGTCAGAGAATCTGTGCTCCCACCGGGAATCGAACCATGACCTTCTGGTTCATAGGTCTACGCTCCACCACTGAGCCACGCCAGCTGGGCTCCTGTCACTTTTTTACCACAATAAAAAGATACAAGGTAATTGTGATAACAAGAGTGATGCAAATAAGGAGCTAGGACAGGGGTCCTCAAACTACAGCCTGCGGGCCACATGCAAATACAAATATTGTATTTGTTCCCGTTTTGTTTTTTTACTTCAAAATAAGATATGTGCAGTGTGCATAGGAATTTGTTCATAGTTTTTTTTTTTTTTAAACTATTGTCCGGCCCTCCAACGGTCTGAGGGACAGTGAACTGGCCCCTGTTTAAAAAGTTTGAGGACCCCCGAGCTAGGAAAACGGAAAGGAGGGAACACTCGTTTCTGAGTGGATCAGGGAGGCTTGACGGGAGCTTTTTGTTTCATGTGACCCTCGGGAGATGAGATGCAAGCTCACTGGCCTTTTCTCGCCTCCTTACAGTCCTGTACCTCGTGTGGGCTTTTGTTCCCGAGTCTTGGCTGAACGCCTTAAGCTTGACCTATTGGCCTCAAAAGTAAGTTTAATATGTTGCTTAAATAAAATAAGAGTATATTAATGCTGTTTTGAAGGATCAGATTTTTTGTAAAGACTACTCAAATCTTAAATACTCTTTTAAGATCCATAAATAGCCAAATAGAAATGTAAAGCTTTTTAAAGGTCATTATTGATATATCTGCAATTAAAAATGATGTGTTGAATGCATGTTTGTCTTCCTTTCCTCCCAACACCTTGCTAAAGTAACTCTGTAGGGAAAAAAAGATATTTTTTAAGGTAACGAATAATGGGATAGCAAGTAAGAAGTATCAACAAAATTTTAGAGTTGTACATAGGTGAGCGGTAACTGACTTAGTTTCCACTTTTTCACATTGCTGAAGTAGAGAAGCCAGCAAGAATAGCTGTGCCCTAGAATTCCAGAAAGGCTAGAAATTGGACATACAGATATCTCTTTAACGTGGTCATTCTGGATTGAGCTGAAAGCAGTGTTTAAGGCGCACAAGACCCCCCAATCCCTTCCTCATCCCTTAAGGCAGGGAGACTGGCCCTCCCTCCCCTGCAGAAGACAGTTTTACTCTCTAAAACATTGAGTAAGAGTCTGTAAGACATTAGGTCTGATCCTGCGAATGAGGCACCTTATCTCTCACTTATGTACAACTAAAGACAGGGACGAGAATGGAAATCATTGCATTGCTGAGTAATAAGACGCCCCAAGCACCTTTCCTCACTAGACTCCCAGGCTTGTGGCTGCCAGGCCTATACCTCCTTGCTCCTCCCAGCAAAACAGGAGGCGCTTCCCTAAGGAAGTTGACCAGCTTAGGGGAAAGCATCTGTAATCTCTGACATTTGGCGGTCCCCCAGTGAAATGGCTTGGTCTCCTGCAGTGAGACTCGCCAGTTTGCCATCCTGGCCCACATACACACGGGGCTTCCAATAACCTTGTTAGTACTTCATTTTTCATTTTAACTTAGCATTTTATAAAAGCCTCTAAAATGAAATACAAAAGAAAAAAAGGGAACTTGAAGGAAAGGAGCTAATGGAAGGAACAGAAGAAAATCACCATGAAACAAGAATAGAATAGGAATGTTTAAGGGATTACTACTGTTTTTGGAAATATCTATGTATACATAAAAGGCTAATATGCTAAGTGTTCAACCATCCAACCGGTTGCTATGACGTGCACTGACCACCAGGGGGCAGACGCTCAACGCAGGAGTTGCTGTGATGCGCACTGGCCATTTACAGAGAAAAGGCACCACAGACCTGGCACCCACAAAGCAACACTTGGCTTCCCCCAAGTGGGACACAGGCCCTGCCATCACCCTGGAGCAACACCCCTCCAAATTACAGCTGACACTGCCGAGATCCCATGGCGCAAAATGCGGCCCACAACCCAGCCCAGCCCAGAAACGGTGGCTGTGGGCGCTGGGTAGGTAATGACATCACCTAGCAACGCCTGGCTTCCTCTCCCTAGCAACTAGCCTCCTTGCAGTTTCTTCAGCCCAGGAATACAACTTGTTTTATAGCCAGGTGAAAGCATTTTACACTTTATCCAAATGTCTGTGAAGCGTTTTCCCATGCCTCATCTCATTTGATCCTCACAGAAGTCCTGGAGTAGGTAGATAGGAGACTCTGTGGAATCCTATTTTCTTTTCATTAGCCGGAAAATGGAGATTTACAAAGCTTAGAAACTTGACCCGATTGAAAAGAAGTAAGAAATGGTGGACCTTGAAAATGACTTCAGGTTTTCTCACTGCACAGATATAGTCAAACACTGCTGCAGTTAAATATTTTACCCTTTGTTCGCCCTGCGTGATCTACAATAATAATCTGCTTTGTGTTGATATATACTGCTGTGTTGCTGACAATTACCTGAAAGAGAAGTTGGGGTGTTTCACTGGGCTGGAAAAAGTTTAGCTACATCAGAAAGCAGGTCTAACTAAACAGGTTTATTTTTTATCTATAAAAGGCTAAGTTGACTCGTGCATGCGCAATACATGTAACACTCTTGCTGGTGCCAATCGCACGCGTGTGTTTTGATCTGTCATTGTCGATCTTGAATTTGGTTGACACTTCTATTATAGAGAAAGGGCAAGCAGCGATATTAAAATATTTCTTCTAATTAATGTCCTTTCAGTGTGCCTGAATTTGTGCACCAGGCCACTAGTGTATATATAACAGCCAAAATTGAAATTTTAATTGATGGGTTAGAGATAAACCAAAGGTAATATCCAGAAAGTAGAAAAAAGACAGCAAATGGAAAAAAATAAGGAAAATATAACAGGGTGAAAAAATCTTAACTCTTAGAAGTTCCAGAAAGGGAAAACAGTAGGAGAAAATGACTAAAGAAACAGTGCAGCCAGTTCAGAACTGCAGTCACTTGATGTGCTTGCTCAGCTGCATTGAGAGGCATATTGGAGCCCTTCCTGGCAGAGAATCTGGGGGCTGAGTACTGATGGGAGCATGGAACATAAGCTGACAGACAAAAAGATGGCCAGCCTCGTAACTGTTTGTCTTTTAGGTACCTGTTTTACTTTAAATTTTAAAAGTTATGTTAACTTACTGATGGACTCATAAGAAGAATAGCTTTTGGGGAAGTCTGTTACCTCCTGAATTTTCTAATCTGCAGGTACTGGGCAGTTGCATTGCCTGTCTACCTCCTCATTACTATAGTAATCGGGTATGTACTCCTATTTGGAGTAAACATGATGAGCACCTCGCCACTCAACTCCATTCATACAGTCACAGGTAAATTTATACCAAAGGGATGTGCTGGGGGACGGAGGACTGGGCTCTTAGTGCTTTTATCAAGAAAAGCAACCAAGAACAGGCTGCAAAAATGACACCTCGGCATACCAACTCGGAAGACATAATGCAGAGTTATACCAGAGGCAGGTTTACGTGGGAAATAAGTTCTGATGAATACCCTGTTCATAGCACTAGGCAGCAGGTGCATTTGCCCATAAAAACCACAAGTCTATAACATGTTCCTTGACAGCTCCGCTGGCAGGAACTTCCTTTATCCTCGACAGGCAGTGTTGATGGAGGGGTGCACACAGGCCCATACAGAGCTTGTCCGGGAGGAGGGATTTGGGGGGGCGGTCCTCAGGATCCCTGTGTACACCTGACCACAGTAAGGGGTAGACAAGCCAAGGCATGTTTTTGCAGTTTTATTTTTTAAAGTTCTTTTTTTCAAATCTAAAGACTAAAATAGGAAGACTCCTAAGCTTGCTTATATTCTAAAATGTAAAGTATTTTTTAAGTTTCAGGTATGATTTTTTAACTTTTAAAGCCTGTTTGTGTGTGTATGAGCCTATACAATGTATTCTGCAAATCAATTATAGTTTTTTTGGTTTTGTTTTTAATATATATTTTTATTGATTTCAGAGAGGGAGAGAGAAATAGAAACATCAGTGATGAGAGGGAATCATTGATTGGCTGCCTCCTGCACGCCCCACACTGGGGATTGAGCCTGCAACCTGGGCATGTGCTCTTGACGGAATTGAACCTGGGACCCTGCAGTCCACAGGCCAACGCTCTATCCACTGAGCCAAACCGGCTAGGGCAGTTATAATTTTTTATATTTCTTTTTTAAAATATATTTTTATTAATTTCAGAGAGGGAAGGTAAGGGGTGAGATAGAAACATCAATGATGAGAGAGAATCATTGACTGGCTGCCTCCTGCATGCCCCACACTGGGTGGGGATCGAGCCCACAACCTGGGCATGTGCCCTGACCAGGAATCGAATCATGACCTCCTGGTTCACAGATTGATGCTTCTTTTCTGGTAACCTACTGTATTCCCTGCATTCTTGACTGGAATCACAGCAAACAGACAATTTGTGCAGAAGGGAGAGAGTGTTAAGTTTATATGAATTATTGTACCAAATGACTTAATAGTTTTCAGGTGATTTAAATATATTTCTCAGCCTGAATAGGATTCTATTCCTATGAAAAATGTGCAAATGGGACTTTAACACATCATTGTACTGATGAATGAAATATTACTTTCTTACCCAAGTTAGAGATGCAAAAAAGTACTTTGCTAGCCCTAGCCAGTTTGGGTCAGTGGATAAAGCTCAACCTTCAGACTGAAAGGTCCCAGGTTCAATTCCGGTCAAGGGCACATGCCTGGGTTGCAGGCTCAATCCCCAGTAGGGAGTGTGCAGGAGGCAGCTGATCAATGATTCTCTCATCATTGATGTTTCTATCTCTCTCTCCCTCTCCCTTCCTCTTTGAAATCAATCTATATAATAAAAACCTAAACGACCATTACAGTGGAACAAGAACGAATGGTTGCTATGATGCACAGTGACCACCAGGGGGCAGCTCCTGCATTGAGTGTCTGCACTCCCTGGTGGTCAGCACACTCCCTGAGGGGGAGCTCTGTTCAGCCAGAAGTCGGACTCATGGCTGGCAAGTGAGGGGGCAGTGGAGGGAGCCTCTCCTGCCTCCACTGCAGTGCTAAGGAGCAGTGAGCAGGGTGGTGGTAAGGAGCAAGGGGTCCTGGACTACAAGAGGGATGTCCAACTGCCGGCTTAGGCCTGGACTGCGAGAGGGCACAGGCTGGGCTGAGGGACCACCTCTAGTAAAAGTATATGTTTTTAAAAAAAGTTCTTTGCTAATTTCTAGTCTAATTGGGATATTGCTTCTAAAGAGAGCATTCAAGTAATCTTTTAATGACATTTAAACGTATTTTTCATTATCCAAGCATTAGCCTAGTCAGTTATGTAGTGGGTCTCCATTAAGACGGTAGAAGAACTCATTGGGTAATGAGAGCCTTTTGTCCTCTTGCAGATAACTATGCTAAAAATCAGCAGCAGAAGAAATACCAGGAAGAGGCCATCCCAGCATTAAGAGATATTCCTATTAGCGAAGTAAATCAGATGTTCTTTCTGACTGCCAAAGAATCTTACACCAAAAACTGAATTGTGTATACACTACCATCAAACATTTATTACAAGTTTTGGCATCATAATTTTGACCATAATTATCTCTCTTATTAATATCCAGTATTGAAATATTTTGAAAAATGTAAGTTGAACTTATCTTAGATTAAGGTCCATTAATATTGTAAAAGTTCTCAAATATTAGTTACTAAGGGACAGAATAAATAAAACATTGATCATTACCATATAGCAGGCGTTTTAACAAATAAGTATCAGTAGAAGCAGGAAGTCCCTCCAGAGTCATTCATGTTGTCACTTTCAGGGAGCAATTGTGTCTTTCTCACTGTTTATTCTAGAGGCCAGAATGCAGACTCCAGTTGGGGGGAAGGGTTCATCTACTGTGTGTCCTTGCCATCAGATTCATGTCTAAGATGCAAATATTTATTGATTGAGTACTCACACGGACCAGGTATTTCTCTGGGTAGTGGGGTGTTGCAATGAGATTCTCAAAGAGCCTACATTTTAGAGGCAGATGGAAATAGACCAAGCAAATAAAGAAGGAAATGAGTGCTGTGCAGAGAATTAAGATAGTACAGTTTCTAGAAAGTGGCTGCTTTACATCCAGTGGTCAAGCAGGCTGCTCAGTTAGAGGCAGTTGAGGCTGAGATTTGATTGGTGAAACCAAGAGCCAGGCATATAAAGACTGGCGAGGCAGAGAGCTTTCAAGCAGCGAGAGCACTGACTTTCAGGTGGGAGGGAGCTGGTGTTCTGGGACCTCAGCACTTTGCATAACTCCTCTCCAGAATAAAATATCTGTCTCGGGCTAGTTCCGCAGTAGTACCCAAGCTTTGCTTTTACAGATCATAGTCACGGAGAGTCACATGGTCAGGGCTGGATGACACCAGCCCGACTCACAGTGACTCAAATGTCGCATTGCACCCTAGTCAGCCAGGATGGCCCACTGGAGTTATAAAGCCTGTTTACCTGGCTCCCAAATATTAGAAGCAGCTGAGTCAACCTGCGTCAGCTGCTGAGGCCCCATCCAGCCCTCTGACTGGTTTCTCAGTTAATGCACCATGGACTGGCCTGTTCTGGGAGCCAAAACCAGGCTCTCTTCCCTAAATCTGGTAAGAGGAAGCTGTGCCTGCAGATCTAGAGACTTGGCCCAACCAGTGGCATGCACAGAGATGGCGGTGGGTGGGCTGCAACCTGGGAGGTCGGGGCAGATAGCAGACAACTCAGGGTGCAGCCAGTCACCTTTGCCCATTTCCACCCATCTGATAGTCACATCTCCCCTGAGTATAAGGGACATGGGGTGGAGAGAATGGTTGAGGTGTCTTCCCCAAGAAGGCAGAAGGTTTCAGTCACTGAGGCAAAAACATGAGAAGAGAGATGATTGTTCCCTTACACCGGCCTCTTTGGTTGTCTGCATTCCCCAATTTTAAATAATTAGTACAGCGAACATCTTTTGTGGATAAAAATCATCTGTGTGATGCCCGGCCGGTGTAGCTCAGTGGTTCAGTGTTGACCCATGACCAGGAGATCAAGGTTTGATTCCCGGCCAGGGCACATGCCTGAGTTGTGGGCTCAATCCCCAGTAAATCCATGCTAAATCTCTCACCTATCTTTATAGATCCTATTAGTTCTGTTTCCCTGAGTCATCCTTGGCCCCTTGTTCCTAACACAGAGGACCTAGTTATATAGTTGGTGAATGAAAAAAAGTTCAAAGGCTCATATCTGGAATCATCAGAAGTGTTACAATTAAATTGTTTTGAAGATGTAATGAGAGAGATGTGTACACTTTTCATATTTTAAGGAGTCAAATCATTGAAGGACCTAAGTAATCAGAATTATCACTGGAGCTCTTGTAACAACCTTAAATTACTAGAAAGCCATCATTATTTGCTTTCTACTTTCAAATTTTGATGTCTTTTAAGATTTTTTTTTGAGGTTACTAAAGTTTGTGAAACTAGTCCAGTAGCCACTCCAGATCAAATTCCCCATCAGCATCTAACGTGAAGATTAAATTTAATGTGAAAGATAGATGACCTGCTGCAGGATCAAAAGGCAGTTAGAAATAATGGCCCTGGTCACAAAGACACACAAATCAAAGAATTGTCGGCCCAGGACAGAGATTCTATCAGTGATGAATCTGTCGTTTCACTTGACTGCTGATCCAGTACAATTATGGGAAAACTAACAGAAATGACCTGAGTGAGCAGACAGACTGGGGCCATTTGTTTCTTAAGTGAAATTTCCAGGCACCCAACCTCAGCCTTTGCTTTTCCATCACCACTGCGTGGCAGTTGGCAGGGAGAGGTGACCTTTACTTAACCTTGGGAATAACTCTACCCGTTTCTGGTCGAAATAAGGAATGTATGTCAATGCCTATTGGCCATCCAATTGCAGGAGTTATTGGGTGTTTTTGGTCTCAGTCAATGATGTCTTTGCCTTTTTGAACTTTATTTTACAAAATAAATATCTTTCTTAGGTCATCTTGACAGTTAGAACAGGCCACACACCTGGTACAGATGCATGACAAATTTAAAAGTAACTTTGATCTGTTTTGTTTTGGTTTGGGTTGTTTTTTAACTCAAACATTCATCTGACTGAAGATAGAGAAATAACCAGGTTTCAATCTACTTTCATTCCTTTAGGTATTTAAAAAATGCTTATTGCTGTCAGCAACCCAAGAGATAAGTGGCTCCAAAACAAATCTTAAATCAAGCACTGCTTCCAGACTTAACCCCTTCCCTCCCAAACATACCTGTGTAGTCATTTGTTCAAAGATCTGACATAAATAAAATCAGATCAGATATCCAATCCCTCAAAGAAAATGGTTTCAGTGAAGGTAGATCCCAAAACTTGCCCTCGTTTTCACCTCTCCATCCATCCTTAGCAGGACCTTCTTGTCACCGATAGACCAGTGCATTGGGCTAAGTCAGATGTTCCCCGTTGGATAAATCATGAAAATGCCATGAGCCAAACAACTTGGGTGATTGAAAGGTATTGATCAGTCAGTCCATCAACCACCAATTCTATGGATCAGTAATAGATTATTTCAGAAATATCCTTGACTAAAAGTCTGTAAGATCATGGCTAAGATTATTTCATGATTATAATATTTTAAATCTACATTAATAATATAGTATCTAAGGACTGATGTTTTAAATATTTTCATTGGTTTTAATAAGTATCACGTATTTTTAAAGTAATACAGACACATTGTAGAGCATTTTAAAACTATAGAAAACAACAAAAAACAGTTATTTATAATCCATCACCCAAAGATAACCTGAACAGTTTTGTATAAGCCCTTCTAAGGATGTGTTTAACAACAGTATCAACAAAATCACACTGTAAATATAAGTTTGCCTTATTTTTCAAATAACATCATATTGTGAGCATTTAGCAACTATATAATATTCTATCATATAGATGCACCATAATTTATTTCACAGATTTCTTGGATTGTAGGATGAGTCTAAGTTTTCATTTTTATAAATATTATTATAACAAATATCCCTGTATAAAAATATTTGTATTTATCTCTGATTATATCCTTAGGAAATATTTCTATAAGGGTTAGGGATATAAAATTTCTAAAAGTGCTCATCACCTATTGCCAAATTGCCCGGGAAGGTAGGCTTAATTTTATACTTTGACCAGCAAAGCATGACTTTTCACCACTCAGCATCATGCATAATTATTCATGAACGTGACAGTGGGTCTTCCATGATCATTTCCAGAGTAACAAAATAAGTTTGAAGAAGTTGAGAAGTATAGTTTGGCTAGCTACTGAATTCACTGATATTCATATTTAATATGCAAACTTACATCAAGAGTGTCCTGGCAGCGCAGGAGGCTTATGTGGAGGGCATGACTCAAACTTTCAAACTCATTTAGAAAATGCCCTTCATATGCAAAGTGATTCTTTTGCAAGAATAAAAAGAATTATGGGGCTGGTTCGGAAATTAAACCTGCCTGAGGCATCGCTGGTAAACAATTTGCAGCAACTTCCTATAATATATAAAGACTTTCCTCCTCAGTGTCAGTGCCCTGGGAACTCTCCTGTTGAAAGCAGCAGGGTGCAGAGAAGAACTGTGATCTGATGAGTGGGCGGGTACCCGTTATCGAGGACTTGTCGACCTCCCTGTGAAATACGTCTCAAGCAGAGCTTGCCACGTTGTTAAAAAGGATACCGAAGACACAGTTCTAAAATGATGCTCACGTCACCTCATCTTCCTGGTAATGGCTCAGAAATTTACAGAGCCTGCGTGAGCATCGTTGTCGAGGGTACCCCTCATCACTCCGTTGTTGATCAAAGGCCAGATCAACCAATTTATTACCCAACCCCTCCCCTTCTCAGAAAACATTATGAATTCTCTTTTCCATCCTTTAGCTTTTCCCCAAGTTACAAAATATATTACCTCTGAGGAAGTCTTTCAGTCACATTCCATCTCGGCAGCATCTTGTGTCAAGGCACAGAGGTTTCTTTAAAGGGATTGCGTGCTGGTCCTTCACAGGAGAGCTGATTCGCAAACCCCTGTCCCGGGATTGGACTTTAGTTGAGGTGCTGCTGTCCCAATGTCCTTCTGGATCTCATGAGTAAGCCCTCGCAGAGAGTCCAGGATGAGGTTGCCCTGTGCCTGTGCTGTCAGAAAGGGGCCAATGGGAAGTGTGTGTCCATTTTGAGCCCTTCAGTATCTTCTTGCCCTCAGAATGCACCCATGGACCAAGCCTCTGCCTGCCTGCCGGCCCTCCCAGACCCCCTTGCTCCTGCTCCAGCTCCAGCTCCTCCGGCTTCCTTCCTGTCAGCCCTGCAGCTTCTCGCTCACCTCAGGGCCTTTGCACAGGCGGTTCCCTGGCCTGGAAAGCTCCTTCCCCAGCTCATTGCTTGCCTGGTTCCTTCAGGTCCCATCAAACACCACCCTCCTTGGACCAGGTTTGTCCTCGTTATCCTCCACCATGTTTTCCGTGGCACACATTGCAATGTGTCGTTTAGAACAAGGCTTCTCAAAACTTCTGGGGTGTAGGATGGATTTTTCTAAATTTCCAGTCCATTATGGATCTATCCTTCTGCAAAATATCCTAAAAATGGATTACTAGAAAAATGAGATGGAAAAGAAGACAAATAGCAGAAGCCTGATTCCTTTTTTCTGTCTTTCTTTTTTTTTTACTAAACAAACATGAAATTACTGTCAAATTGCTCTGGGAGTTTAGAAACACTTCCCTCAACCTCGGCGC